AAATCACCCCCCAGGGAGGATGGCCATGCGTCAATCCCTTCTCCTCCATTCTCCTCTCAGGATTTTTTTTTTTTTTAGAGATTTTTTTGCTATAGAGTGCATGCACCAAAGAGACAGAGAAAGAGTGAGAGATTGAAAGTGAGAAATCGCACCCAGGGAGGATGGCCACAGTGTAATCTCTCCTCCATTCTCCTGTTGGGATCTTGGGCACACACATACATGTACCCAGAGTGAGTTTTAAGTCACCAGGTCTGGGACTCGAAAGACAGTCAGCCATGTGGGAGTCCAGTGACATAACCATATGTCATCTGCTTGTCCCAGGATCCAGCTTTTTTAATCATTCGGCTGCAGGGTCAGTCTGGTAGCTATTGCTTTCATTGTGCTTTGTTTTGGGGATCATATTGATAAAGCCATAAGATGTTTCCTGTTTCAGTTCTTCAAACAAATACTTCAGGACCTTGTTTCCAATTGCATTTTGCTTCTGTGTTTTTTTGTTTTTTTGTTTGTTTGTTTGTTTAATTGACAGAAGGTCCACAGTGCACTCACCATAGTGAAAAAGAATCCATGGCCTGTGGTTACACCTTTCTTCAACTTCTCCATCCTGTCAGAATTTTGGGGGCACACACACACACACCTGGCGTGTTTCTCAAGTCACCGCAGCTGGTACTCAAACCTTGTGAAATCTAGCTCCTGCTACATTGAACTTAACCACTGTGCTATGGGGCTGGCCCTTAATCCCACTTGCATTTTTCATTCAAAGCTCTGCTCTTCTCTGCAACTGATCTGGGTGCAACAGTTTTGGCACCCACCCAGCAGAAACTTACCTCAACTATAATTTTACAGTCAGAATTGGGCAAGCTGAAGTAATTGAGATGTCTGTAGTGCTGGCTATTGTTACTGCTGTTAATCATCAGTCCTCTTCAATTAGGGCACAAACAAGATTAATTTTTTCCTTGCAAATTGATTGGATGCTCGGCCACTGTGGGTGTCATCTTCAACAACATCTCATCTCTTTCTTAAAATGAGCAATCCATTTATAAACTGCTGATTTCCTTGGGGCATTGTCCCATAAACTTCTCATAAAACATCAATGATTTCACCATTCTTTCACCCAACCTTGCTTCATCATAAATTTGATGTTTGTTCTTGCTTCAATTTTAGCCGAATTCACATTGCTCTAATAGGGGCTCTCTTGAAGTTGGTATTTTTTTTGGTCAGATGGTGTGTGCATTCATAGAAGAGACAGAGGAAGCAAGACAAGGAGAAACCATACTGCCCTCTTTGGGGCATCATTGTGTTGTAATCCCTTCTTCATCTCTCCATCCTGTCAGGATTCGGGGCATGCATTCATACACACATCCAATGTGTTTTTGAAGCCGGGTCCAGGATTCAGCTGCACAGTTGACCATGTGAAATCTGGCTTCCTTAGACCCAGGGCAGGCCCGATACCTTATCTTTCTTAGTGTCTCTAACTAGATCCTGTTCAGACATGTTATAACAAGTTAGTATGAGTTTATTTTGGTGCAAAAAAAAAGAAAAAATTGGGGGACCAGCAGGTGGCATAGTCGTTAAGAAGCTGGGTTCTCACATTGCCGACTACAGTTTGAGTCCCAGACATGATGGCTTGAAATTCATATTGAGCACATGTTTGTGTGTGCCCAAAATTCTGAGAGGAAAATGGAGAAGGGATTGTGGTGTAGCCATCCTCTTGGGGGATGATTTCTCGCTTTCTTTCTCTCTGTCACCATCTCTCCAGCGAGCACACGTACTGTATAGCAAAAATCTCTAAAAAAAATAATAAATTTATTTAATTTTATTTATTATTATCATTTTTTAATTTGCTATAAACACATATGCTCACTAGAGAGAGATAGAAAGAGAGAAGGAAAGTGAGAAAGCAAACCACCAGGTCCAGGACTCGAACTGCAGTTGGCCATGTGGGAGTCCAGTGCCTCAATTGCCATGCTACTTGCTGGCCCCTGTGGGAAAAAAAAAATTAACTCGTGCATAGTTTTTTCATAATACACATTTTCTGTGACTGTTTAAACATTTTTCCTGTTACAGCACATGTCTATTTGCCAAAGAGAAAGAGAGAGAAAATGAGAAATCACTGCCCGAGGAGAATGGCCATGCCATGATACCTTCTCCATCTTCCTCTTGGGATTTTGGTCACCCACACACATGTATCCTACTTGATTTTTCAAGCCACAGAGTCTAAGACTTGAACTGTGAAATTGGTCATATGAGATCCAGCTGCCTTAACTTCCACACTACCTGCTGGCCTACTCTGTGAACTTTTAGAAGATACTCACAGTTCATTTTAATACTTAAGAAGCTTTTTTTTTTTTTTTTTTTTTTTACTTTGCTATAGGGTGTGTGTGCTCATGAGAAAGAAAGTGAGCAAGGCATCTGCCAAAGGGAATGATTACTCTGCAATCCCTTCTCCTATCTAGTTCTCTTTTCAGGATTTTGGGGTGTGTTTTAATCTACCATGTTTAGGACTCAAACCATGCAGTCAGCCATGTGGGATCCAGCTGCCTTAACCACCACGCCACTGGCTGGACCTATACAGCACTTTCTGTGTGCTAAATTCTAAGGAATACTATGGTGAACTTAAAATAAAATCACTGGGAAGGACTATGATCAAGATAAAAAAGGATATTGGTAGCCCAGATTAGGGAGAGATATTAGTCCAAACTGAAGGAGCTGGAAGAAGGGAAGCCTGGAGGATATGAGTTGTTCAGGATAAATGAGAATCAGCTGTTCATTCCTTCCAGGTCTGAAGTGCCTAGTATGGAGCAAGCATTGTTCTAGGCAATGAAGACACAGAATTGAGCAAAGTAAAAATTCCTGC